TGATTATGCCATTACAGTTGTTCTATTTCCCCCTTCATTTCCCTCCACCCTGCACACCCCCTCCCCCACCATTCCCCCCTTTAGTTTATGACCACGTGTCTCAAGTTCTTTAGATTCTGTATTTCCCCTTCTATTCTTGCCCTCCCCCCTATCTATTTTCTACCTACCATCTATGCTACTTATTTTCTGTACCTTCTCCCCCCTTCTCCTTCTCCCACTCCCCTGTTGCTAACCCTCCATGTGATCTTCATTTCTATGGTTCTGCTCCTGATCTAGCTGTCCTCTTAGTTTGTTTCGTTTTAGGTGTGGTTGTTAATAACTGTGAGTTTGCTGTCCTTTCACTGTTCTTCTTTCTTTATCTTCTTTTTCTTAGATAAGTCCCTTTAACATTTCATATAATAAGGGCTTGGTGATGATGAACTCCTTGAATTTGATCTTATCTGAGAAGCACTTTACTTGTCCTTCCATTCTAAATGAAAGTTTTGCTGGATAGAGCAATCTTGGATGTAGGTCTTTGGATTTCATGACTTGGAATACTTCTTTCTAGCCTCTTCTTGCCTGTAAGGTCTCTTTTGAGAAATCTGCTGACAGTCTGATGGGAACTCCTTTGTAGGTGACTGTCCCCTTATCTCTTGCTGCTTCTAGGATTCTCTCTTTCATTTTAATCTTGGCTAATATAATGATGATGTGCCTTGGTGTGTTCCTTCTTGGGTCCAACTTTTTTGGGACTCTCTGAGCTTCCTGGATTTCCTGGAAGTCTATTTCCTTTGCCAGAATGGGGAAGTTCTCTTTTATTATTTGTTCAAGTAAGTTTTCCACTGGTGGCTGTTCCTCTTCCCCTTCTGGTACCCCTATAATTCGGATGTTGGAACATTTAAAGATATCCTGAAGGTTCCTAAGCCTCTCCTCATTTTTTTGAATTCTTGTTTCTTCATCGTTTTCTGTTTGGTCATTTTTTCCTCTTTCTGGTCCACTCCTTTGATTCGAGTCCCAGTTTCCTTTCCATTACTATTGGTTTCCTGTGTATTTCCATTCATTTCAATTAGTTTAGCCTTCATATGTTCCTCTAATTTGTGACTAAAATCAACGAGTTCTGTGAGCATCCTGATCACCAGTGTTTTGAACTGTACATCTGAAAGTTTGGCTATTTCTTCATCATTTAGATTTATTGGCTCTGGGGCTCTGAGTTGTTCTTGAGCCATGTTTTGATCTGTTCGTGCTTGTTATGTACGAGGAGCAGATCTTTAGTTGTTCACCAGGGCGGGGCCACCCCCGGTCGCTGGTTTGTGACGTTGTATGTGGGGGCGGGGTCAGAGAGGGAAAATGGCGGTCAGCTCTGCTGCTGGGGCCTGCACGGTCTGCCTCACTGCTCGCTCCTTCACCAGTTTATCTGCGTGCTAATGTGTGACTGCGATCAGCCCTCAGTGAGTCCACTGCCTTGCGCCTTCAGTGGGTCCGCCCGCTTTTCCACACTTGGGATCTGCCCACGGCTGCTGGCGCACCTGGGTCTCGCGCCAAGGTAGGTCCGGTGGATCTTTCCTGCCCGACGTGCTCTGCTGCTGGCTCTGCCCCTCTTACTGGTTTGGCTGAAGGGTTCGTTGTCATCAGACTTCCGTGTAGTTCAATTTTCTGTGGTTTGGCTGTGTTTTTGTTGCTAAAACTTTGTTGCTTTTAAACCTAGTTGTGCTAGAAGGCGCAGTGCTTCCACCTACGTCTCCATCTTGGCAGAAGTCCTATTTGTCCAGTTTGTACTTTTTAAAAATATTTCATTTATTTACTTTTAGACAGAGGGAGAGGGAGGGGGAAAGAAACATCTACGTGTGGTTACCTCTCAAGTACTTCCTACTGGGGACCTGGCCCACAACCCAGGCATGTGCCCTGACTGGGAATCAAACCAGCAACTTTTTGGTTTGCAGGCCATCACTCAATTCACTGAGCCACATCAGCCAGGGCTGAAAAACCCATCTTTTTTAAAGCAAGGTAGTTTATAAACATAAATTTAGGATGGTGGTTACCGCTGGGGAAGAAATGTTAGCAGATGTCAGGGTCAGAGTTCAAGTTCTTGGGTGTGTGGTGGATTCACTATATTACTCAAATACATTCAAATGTATTTACTCAGGGGCTCAAGCACCGCCAGGGACTGACTACCAACTGAGATCTGCTCAAACCCAAGGACTATGAGAAACTCATTTGGTGTACTTTGTCCTTTTAAAAAGAGAGAAAAATAAAGCAACAGAGAATTCTTAGCAAATGGAATATAGGGCTGCTTGTCATTGTCTTCTATGATTTTATTTATTGCCTCTTGGCAACGTTTTATTTTAAACTTGATTCTTCATAAATCTGCCTTACCTTCAGTTCTTCCGATTCTTGAAGACAGAGTGATCACTCTTTGTTAGTATCCAGGCGAGAAAGTTCAGAACACATTCTTTCAAGGGCGCTGTTTCTGCAGCACGTTTCGTGGAAGTGTTAACGTTTCATGGAAACCACCATATCCTGTTCAGTTGTAACTCTCATCTAGAAACTGGCACCACACTCTACAAGGCCCGGGGTTGATTTTCAGTGCAGCCCAGACCAGAATTAAATGCCGGGTCGAACAGCACAGATTCCTCAGCACACTGATCATCTCTCGGTTGCTAGTTACCTCTGTATTTTTCCACTGAGCTGGAAAGGGAAGTACAAGTGTGGGAAGTTAGATTAGTATGTTACCCAGGATGTTTGGGGAGCCTTGTTCTTCCATCTTTCTCTGCTTCACTGCCACACGTTGCATCTCAAGTGAAACGCACGGGTACTATGGGGACTTTCTTAGTGCCTGGTGATGCATGAGAACAGATTCTTCCTTTAAAGCATGTAAGTGCTCAGTATATTAAGGTGACAGTTAATAAACTGGTATTTTTAGCTCCTGACGACAAGACCACAGTCAAGACCATGTCAAGATATGGCATCCAGAGAGGGTCAGGCTTAGTCTTAAGGTGAATCCCCTTTGTCACCCTGTCTTGACTCCTTGCCCAGACCAGAAAGTTCAGGTGGAGCAGAGCGGGGAAAACAGCAGATACCACGTGTGTGGGACCACCGTCGTGTGCTGCGGGGCTTGTCATGGTCACTAACCTGTCTTCTTCTTGTCAACAGGTGGGTTGGAAAATGTCCCTTGTAGACTTTCTTGAGTCTTTCCAATCATACTGGGAAGGACTGACTTAAGGACGGTTGTTGAATGACATAGAAACACGAGTTGAGTTCTACTCCTTGGCAGGCCTGTCCTGTGTCCTTGTAGCCTTGGAGTACCCTTAGGACACATAGGATGCCAGGACTGACCTAGAACCTGGTGGAGAAGGGGTTGCTCATCCCTGTGTCCAGGAAGAAAAAGTGACATTAACAGTAGAAAGTTATAAACAAGTGGGATGGCTCCCTGAGGATGTTTAGGATACAAGAATTCAGTAGGTCACAGCCGTATCAGTTGGTGGGGCCGGCCGAAACTCCTTGCAGTGAGGGGTAAGCAGTGTGAGAAGGAATGGACCCCACGCTATTCCATGCCCATCCAGATCAATCCGTGACGCTCTCTGACTCGTGAGTGAGATGTCCCATCTCACGTGTACTGATAAAACCTAACTCAACACCACGTAAGACATGTAGGTTCTGCCAGAAGCTCCCAGAAGACTCAAAGTTCTCCAAGTTAGTATTTCCCAGAGGGAGAGTTCTAGTCTTTTATAAGACACAGATTTCCTGTCCATAAGAGCTAGGGGCAGGGCCTGTTCTTGTACATATTATGGCAAGGTTATTTTTTAAAAAGTCATTTTGGTGTTTTCCTATCCCTGCTGGGTTGGGATGATGTGGGTCGCAGAGGTGATACTGGGGTCACAGCGTCCAGTACTGAGCCCACTGCCTTTTCAAGGGTCAGGGTATTTCAAACCCTGGAACCCAGTCTTCGACAGCCTTCACTGACAGGTGTTTGTGGATGAGTTGCTTCTGCCTATCCCGAAAAGGTACGATTTAAAGCATAGATTTATTAGGGTCACATTTTATTTTGAATGGACAAAATCAGAATAATTGTAAATAAATATCCTGTAAGGAGAAGGAGACTTCTTTGTCTTTCAAGGTTCTCTCATGATGCGGGCCTGAAAAACAGGGCACTTCTTATAGCACCATTGAGTTCCGCTCATAAAACCATGGAGCATGTCAACAGGTCCGATTGTCTTAGAGCTGCTTCTCGGCTCCCGGGTGCCAGGACCTGAGTGAGAGGAGCAGCAAGCAGAAGTAAATCCTCTGGGCACACCCAGTGCCCTTCCAGGGAGGGCCCACGATAACTGGGTGCGAAGTTGCCCTGACAGTCTGCTGAGTATTTCCCCCCTGAATTGAGGGTTGTCAGAGAAGATTGATTATTATTATTTTAAATCAAGAGTCCACTCTGAGAATGAGGAATAGCAAAGATATGTATTGGAGGTCTAGCAACGTAATAGTCATAGAAGACAGTGATGTACGGACCATGTAGAAATCATCAGCTCTGGTGTCTGGCTTCTTTCACTCAGCAGCACACTTCCGAGGTACATCTGTGTCGTAGGTATCGGTAACTTGTTTAAAAGTCCGCTGTGGATGGATTGGTGACTGCTAGTCCATCGTATGGCTCTCCCTCAGTTTATGCATTCACTCCCGTCTGGGTGGACACTGAGGTCTCCATTTTGGGTCACCATGAATAAAGGCACTGTGAACACCCGTGTGTAGAACAGCGGGCTCCCACAGGAAGTGTTTGTATAGCTTCACAAGAAAGTGACAAACCGATTTCCCGAGCAGCTGTCTGATCACGCAGCCCCCCCAGGGGAGCATGAGAATTCTGATGGCAGCACAGCTCTGGCCTCTGGCTCCCGTCCCGGCCACCAGCGGACTTGGCGGTCTTCCCTCGTACACACCCACAACCGTTCTCCCCATGTGACTTGTGAATTCTGCATTCTGAATCCAGCAAGTCTGACTCAGGCCTAACCACTGTCTTTGTCAGCACGGAGGACCCTTCTTGAAGGAAAACCTGACTCTGCCTGAAAGAGGCGTCAGCATCTCTTGGAGGGTGAGGGTGGGAGAGACCAGGACTCGGCAGGAGGCAACAACAAGCTTCTTTTGTTGCCGTCTTGATCCCAACAGGCCTCCAAAGACTCGTAAGTTACTAACTTTCACAGTGTGGGTTGTCTCATGAAGCCTATGAATATTCAAACAACAATTTTTTCATTGCAAATGAGAAAAAGTCGGTATGCAAAAGAACTATTCCTCAGTTAAGTCCATTAATTCAAATTCAGTAAATTTGAAAATAATTTTTACCAATCTTTTTCTCTTTAAGGTCATACAGGAAATTGACTTTTATCTGAAAAATGCCTTAACCCATTTAACACTGGCTAGTTATTTTTTCCATTTTGCAGTTGTAACCTACCCATCAGACCACCTGTTCAGTTGACACATGTCTTCTTTGACATTCTGTGGAAATTTTAGTCAAGACAAATTCTGGTTTGCTGCAAGACACCCAGAGCAGGGTGCCAGAGGAGTTTGGTCCTAAGTCTTCATTTTCCCCATGTTTAGATCGACAGCATCTCTTTTTCTTCTTTTTAAAAAATTTACTTAGAGAAATAGGAAGGGAGGGAGAGAAGTATTGATGTGTGAGACATACATCAGTTTGGTTGCCTCTTGCATTGCCCCCAACTGGTGACCTGGCCTGTGACCCAGGCATGTGCCCTGACAGGGACTCAAACTTGCAACCCCTTGGTTCACAGGTCATCATTCAATCCACTGAGCCACATCAGCCAGGGCAGATGGAGCGTCTCTAAAACTGGATCTCAGAGCACACATTTTCCATATTCCTCCGGATGCACATGGCAGCGTTGAGCTGTTGGCGGGACACACAGAATGTGAGGGTCTGAGATGGCAGCAGAAGTTTGCTCCAGGGCAAAGCATTTCCCGGAAGGACAATCTTCATCCAGGGTGTGGCAGCTGGAGTTTTTGTGATTCTATAGGGTATGTTAATCCAGCAAGAAGAAAAATCACCTGGCCAATTTTCAAGTGAATCAAGAGCTGACTCACAAGGCATCTGCCAAGTGTTACTCAGTCAGGTCGAGATGAGGCTCTTGCTTGCAGGGCTGGTGCGACTCCGAAGGGGGTGGTTGCTCTGCTCCTTCCCTTCCCCCCACTGCCCCGTTCCTGCCATGTCACAGTCCTGTGATTTGGGGAAGGGGGTGCTGTGGGCCTTAGAGAAGGGGCCCTGCTCTTCAGCCTGTTGGAGTTGGGGTTCTGCAAATGAGAAGGGACTGGTGCCATTTCCTGCTTGTAACTGGGAAGAAGCTCCCACAGTGCCTGCCCCCAGCACGGTCGCTGTAGAAAAGGCTGCGTGGGGACTGGGCCTGAGGTATTCCCTCCAGAATGAGCGGGCACCAAGGGTGTCCCACGGGGGTAGTAAGGGCAGTCCCCACAAAGCTGAGCGACGATGCCCTGGACAGGCCACTGAGCAGTGGGTTGGAGCAGCATCTGGAAGTTGGGCCATGCCGACTTACCTAGGCCTGGGGCCTTTGTTGTCTGTTGGAAGTAGGGTATGCCGACTCAGTTCTGTCTGTTAAGCTACTGAGTTTACTTCACCTTCTTTTTTTTTTTTGTCAAATAAATAGGTAGGGTTTAGGAGGCTGGCCAAAAGTTACCAAGGGTAAAGTAAGCGTTCTGGAACTTTCTTTCACTCAGCTTACTCTTATCCCAGCAAAGTGTAGATGTGGGAGGTGTGGAGGGAATTATGATTTTAAATAAACTGTGACTCTGTGTTGTGAAAAATATTTCTTCATCATAGTCACGAAAAGTGACATGAACCCACATTTCAGAATGGAGTCCGAACTGCCATTCCAGAGGAGCCGCCTTGCAAGACCTCGTTCCTTGAATGTTTTGGCTGGGCCAGACCGCTGCACTGGGCTGAAGCCGACATGGTTTTACAGATAATTCTTTGTAAATTTTTAGCAGGAAGGCAGGCATCCTGACAATTATGAACTCGCCATTGGAAGACGGAATCAGTAACCCACCACACAGAGCCCTGGAGTAGCTCTGCTCGTTAGTGCCAGTGGGAATTCTTTCTTCTTTTCGTGTAATTATTCCTTTCTTTTTCTCCTAAAAACCCCTTGCCTCCACCTTGTAACTGGGACACTATTTGGATATCTGCCTGAATCCAGTCCCCAGATTTTAATTATTGATCCCAAGCGAACATTCATTGCCTCTTGTTTAACATAGTTTGCCTGTAAGTTTCATACACTGAAATGGGGGCTGCCCGAGAAACGTAACACCTCCAAGTACAGTGCAGACACCAACTCAGAATCCCCCCAACCCCCTGGATGTGACTTGAAACTACGCTCCTCCCCCATGAAGGTCGTTAGCTTCGGCTTCAGTGACTTGGTGGCACGTTGACCCCAGGGCTTGGACACAGAGCAGATGCGGTCAGCCTGTCTCTGCAGTGGGGTTGCAGCCACCGTCTCAACCATTAAAACAGTGTTAGGATGAGTGACTGTGTGTGCACTTTTGTACACGTACATGTGTATGGGCAGTTTGTACTCCAGGAAGTGAGACTGCGACTTGGGAGGAATTGAGTCGATAGATCTCACCAGATTCTCCTCCACAGGGAGTTAAAGCAGTTGGTACTCCTACCAATGGGAAAGTGGATTCCTCCATACATGTGCCAACAGAACATCACCAAACTTCAGGATTTTTGTCACTCTGATAGATGACAGATGATACCTTAGTTTAATTTGTATTTTGTTATAATGGAGACTAAGCTCTTTACCAGGATGTAAGGGGCACTTGGTACTGTTCTGTAAACTGTCTGTTCATGTCCTGGTCCATTTCTCTATTGAGTTGTTGGTCTTCCTATTTTTAAAGATTTTATTTCTTTATAGAGAGAGGGGAAGAGAGGGGAAAAGAGAGGGAGAGAATCACTGATGTGACAAAAACATCGACCAGTTGCCTCTCATAGGCCTCAACTGGGGGCCAAACCCAAAACCCAGGCATGTGCCCTGACTGGGAATCGAACTGGCAACCTCTTGTTTTGTGTAATGACATCAAATCAACAGGATTACACTGCTCGGTGCAGTCTTTTTATTTCAAATATCTAAGACTTCTTATATAGTTGTGAGATTAGAATGGGCTTGATTTTCTCAACACATTACAAAACAGCAGCTTTAAAAGAGTCTTAAAAATGTTACCCCAGCCACCTTCTATTCCTTGAAAACAGAAATCTCCTATTCCCAATTGGGAGAATTTTATTTAGTTTTCTGACTTATAAGGACTGTCCATTCATTTCAGAAATACTGGAAGAAACTGACAACCGCCAGGGTCATGCTTCCTTCTGTTCTTTTCTGAGGATGTACCGACAAAAAGGGACCACCTCCCAGAGGGGGCCGTCAGCGAACGTCAAAGGTTTGTGTGTCCCCGTGGTACTCGCCCTCCCCCCTCACTTACGCCATGTTTAACATGTATGCGGTGGGAAATGTTTCATTTCAGCAACATCCTGTCCACCGAGCAGAGGGACAGACAGACATCTGGCCACATTGGGGACGGTGATCTCTGCACACTAGTGCCATTCTGGGCTCAGGGTCTTTTTAGGACCTTTGGTGGGGGCGGGCAGGGAAGACAGCCCTGCTTTTCCTGCCGGGTGAGGCACCACTGATGGGCTCCCGCTGCATCTTCTCCGGCCCTTCCGGCTTCGGCTACTGGTGACAGGTGTTTTCACTTCAGTTGGTCACACGACCACGGGAACGACAAAACACACGTGACCGTGTTGGTAATTTTGTTAGAATTTTTATTTGGAAATAAAAATTCGTAATAACAAATATTTATAAAATCATCACGTTACATGCTTCACCTACTTGGAAAAAGTTAGACGGTGTAAAAAATGTAGCTGTCATTTATAAATGGAAGCCTTTTCCTCTGAGCAGAAGAAAGCTCACGAGTAGTGACAGAATGAGCGCGAGGACACGGACGCCCCGCGGCCCCTCACCTCCCTGGGTGAGGGTGGGGGCTTGGGGTCCGGAGCCCGGCCTCCGGGGCTGGGGGCTGGCCCGCAGTTTCCCCGAGCACCAAAGAAGGGAAGACCGGATGGTTTCTAAAGTCCTTTCATTGGACTTAAACGGTCCTTTCATTTCAGAGAACACTATGTAATCACAACAGTATCATTTTCCTTTGACCGTAAACTTCAGCAGAAAATAACATGCTCAAAAATTTTACCACGCAGGGTACTACGGATATTATGGTGGCTCTCACCATCTTTGGGAATCTGCCGTTTCGTGAGTCTCTGATTTGGTTCAGTTGCTTGGAGACAAGCAGCATTGTCCCCGCAGACCAGTACACGGGAAGAAACCGGCCGTCTTTTCCCGTAGTCTGCGGTCCTGCCTTCATCCCACAGGCCGTGCTGAGTCTCCCCCCGGCCCACACCACCCCCTAATCACACAGTGCCCAGCGGGTCGATTTCTGAGTTCTCCCTCCCATTTCCCTGTTGACCACATAGGTTGTATTTTAGCAGGTCCTGATACAATCTCTTCAATTCATGATGCCAGCAGTTTGATGAACAGTTTGAGGTTTGCACGTCACAGCTCTTAGAGTGCCCAGCGGCAAACACAGGGTGCACGGGCCGCCCTGGAGAACCCAACAGTACCGCCTGCGTGTCCTTGAGGAGGGATGCACACAGCCTCCAAACTGGCCACTGAGGCTGCTCTCACTTTCAAGTAAATAGTTTTCAATATTAAACAGGATTTTTGTTTTACGACAAATACATGCTCAGGACAGACATTACAAAACCATATGCTTAGATAAATAATCTAAAAACACAGCTAATGTTTCTCCAAGTACCAATTCTAAAGTTAGGGTCTTCCCACCACGCACATAGTGCCTGAAACTCTAGACCCATCACCCCGTCACCACACATTGTCCTATCATCACCCCTACAGTCGGGCAAAAATCAGAACACACACGTTTATATGAGAGCATATCAATGTCGCTGAAGTTCACTACTCAATGCTTAACTCTCACCCACAATTACTGGAAACTACACGACATAGCATCACTAAAACTTGCCGACGATGAGAGCTGTTAATTTACAATCAGTTCCTTTCATAAGTGTGCCACCACCATTTATTAATTCCTAATTCAGTTCAATCTCAGTGACCTGATTCTGAGTGAGGTAACTTCATAGTAGTTCTGCTGCTATGAAGGTGGCAGGTTGAAAAGTACAACTGTTACAAAGTATAAAGTACAAAGTTTAAAGTACCAGATTGGATTTAAAGGATGGGAAAGTATAGTATCAGTTACACCACTTCCCTCACTTGGCATACAAACTTAAAAAAAAAAAAAGCATTTCTTTAGTGATAAAAATACAGCTCTTTTGTGAGCATAGAAACAATGCACGGAATCTGTTTCTTCGCATGAAAATTAGGGTCGAAGGAAAAGGACTCAAATTCTATCGCCACCTTCCGGTTCACCCGAGTCAGGATGTGCAGGAGCTCGAGCTTGTCTGCGTACTGCTTCAGCATGGCGCAGAGAGACTGGATGAACCAGGACCCGTCCTTGGCATTTCTCCAGGAAAAGTAACCTACAGGGCAAAATACAACCGAAACACCATGAGTATCTGATGATAAATCGCCACATTACCACAAAGCAAAAACAAGCATAAACTCCCAGAGCCATGAAAAGAAAAGACATAAATGACACCTTCAGGTTCAGGGAAATGATGCAGAAGAGGAAAAAAACCCAAAACGAAAACGCGTGTTGTGCAGACACAGCTGCTTTTCACGAGGAAAGAGGGAGCCGCCCGGACAAACTTCCCACCGAACGACTGAGAGCTCTGCCTCCTGGACGTCCCTCCCAAAGGGGAAGAACGGACAAGCGCACAGGCGGGGAAGAAAAGGTCACTCTAAGTGGCACAGCGCTCCATCAGATCCCTGACTTACCCATGAAATAAACTGCTTACGTGTGGCCCCGCGGCGGGGTGCCCTACATCTGTCCCCGTGGCTCCCCAGTGCGGTGTGATAAACACACCGCAGAGCAGAAGCGTCCACAACGGGAAAAGGGCGCACTTACTGCACTTTTTCCCGTCATCCCACTTATGCCCCCTCATGTACTAGTCATATTTATCTTTCTTATTTTCCATATTCCAAAGAATTCCTGGAAAACATGCCTCTTCCCTATTCCAAGCAGTGGGTGACCTCTAAGTTGGCCTATGTTACAATATAGTGTCCTGTCCGGTGTTAAGTTCATGAACGGCACTGTGTGAGCTGCTTTCTTTTATGCGCGTGTTTTCTAGCCAAACTTGGCTAAAAAGCACTTTTTCAGACCATTCTGCAGTTAATGCACCCTAAAATACAGACAAGTTAGCTATTTTTTATGGATATCAAAATCTTTTTTTAAAAGACCTATTTATTTTTAGAGTGAGAGGAAGGGAAGGAGACGGGGTAGCACAGAAACATCAATTGATCAGTTGCCTCTCGTGAGCCCCCAAACTGGGGCAGTGAGCCCACCACGCAGGCATGTGTTCTGCCCAGGAATCACACCAGCGACCTTTTGGTTTGGCTCAACCCACTGAGCCAGACCAGCCAGGGCTGGATGTCAAAATCTCGACAGCCTTTGGAACTGCCTCCGTGTTGCTTAAAATCTGCGCGAGACGCCCACGATTTGCAGCGCTCTGCGTCCTCACCAGGCGCTGTAGAATACGCGTACAGGAAGTCTGCCTCCACCGGAATTTTCTGACATGTCATGTCATCGTCAACGCTGCTGTCGGTCTCGATGCCGCAGTCCAGCTCTGTGCCTCGGCAGGCCTGGCGGGAACAGAGGAGTGCTTATTTCTGAAATGTGTGTACGCATGTAGCTAATTCCTGAGAAGTGTAAAGGCTAGATAAAGGTTGATGTTAATTACATAGAATCTTTTTGATCGAAGTCTAAAATTAAAATTTATTCTCTATCTCCTAGCAGGCAGTTAAATAAAAAAGTAATGACAGTTCAGTAGCTCTGGGGAAAACACCCTCTGGATGATCCATGACCGAGTGAATGAACCCCCGACACATCCTTGTGACCACGCCGCTCAGCGAGGCATCACCTACCTGAACAATGAAAAGCTTGGGCTTTCCGGTCAGGCTCCTGCAGCAATCCCCTCTGAAGAAACGCGTTAAGTCTCGAAGCTCAACGGCTCCATTTGTTCCAAAAATCACGCCTTCCTCCCCATGGCTCAGGAGCACGCAGACGAAACTGCTCCTCTTGCCGTGGTCTTCCTCAGACACTGAAATGTTTACAAGGAAGAAAAACAAAGTCCAACACAACTTCACTCACCAACCTCGCAGATACTATTATATGGGGAAAAGATGAGTAACAAAATTTCTAGTATGGGCATATATTATTTTTATACATTTCCCCCAACTAAGAACTAAGATATCACCTAAGCCAACATGGGGCAGAACGATACACCTCAAACCGTTTTAGAGGGCGGGAGTGAACAATTTTTATCTCAATTATATAAGATGTACAAGGTAGGATTCTGCACAGTGTAGTTCTACCATTCTCAAACTTATTACTATATGTATAATTATAGCTGGATCTTGGACAACAAAGTTGCCCTTGGATAAAACTGGGCAATGAAAGTCATTCTTTTCATTTTTCTCACCACTGCGCATCAATTCCACCATTTCTTCGCGTGTAAGGTCATTTTTGTTCCTGACTTCGTATTTCAAGTTCATGAACGTTTCCCTGAGGTTTGCTGCATCTACATCAGTACCAGACCGACATGCCATTCCTTAAAACAGAATGAATGACTATTAATTGTTGTTTTTGAAAAAAAAAATGAACTGCTCTGAAATGAACTATTTAGTAATTTACACAATCCACAATAAATTTCCTTTCAAATGCTAAGAGAATTCAATTATTCTTATCATAGGGACAGTCTTTTTGCTTTCTTAGCACGTTAGACACCTTACAGTGTAAGCTACATCAGTTTATCACCATGTACGCAAGCCACTGTGTTACAGTCACAAAGATACTACCTTTCACAGATCCTGAGTGAAAAACAGAAACAACTTAAATGCCTCAAGAGTGGTTTGGGTTAAGTAAGTTACAATTCATTGATATAGTGGAACACAGTGTTGCCATTAAAAAAATTTGTAGACAAAATGTTGCCATGGGAAATAGTCCACTTTTTTAAAAAAAAGACTAAAAATTGATAGGCTCCTACTTTTCTTTAAGAAAAAATAATATGTATCTACCGATACACACATCTCACACACTCAGAGTAACTGTATTTCTTTAATTTTTAAGTCCCCACACTTTTAAGATGCATCGCTACTTTCACAATGTCTTTCCAGGAAACACACACGCCCTGCTACCAAGTGATACTGTTCATCAGCATTCTGCTCTGGGTAATCTCCCTTTGTCCTTCCAACCACCATGAGACAGTTATGACCGGCTTCCTTCAGATGCAGGACATGGAGCACAGAGGAGTTCAGGAGCTTTTCGGAGGCAACAAAGCTAATGTCAGACAGCTACCCAGGGGTCTTGGGCTTCCATCACTCCTTGATAGTACCTTCCCATAAATACACACTTTAATTGTACCAGACATTCAGATTAGGAATACACCGTAGAACTTAGTAAATTTAAGGTCCCTAAGTAGGAAAAAAAAAAGTCTCACCCCAACTATTGTGGCTCAGTGGATTGAGCATGGGCTGCGAATGAAAGGGTCGCCGGTTCAATTCCCAGTCAGAGTACGTGCCTGGGTTGCAAGCCAGGACCCCAGTAGAGGCCACATGAAAGGCAACCACACTTTGATGTTTCTCTCCCTTCCTTCCCCCCTCTCTAAAAATACATAAATAAAATCTTTAAAAAAAGGAGGAAATGTCTGTATTTCCAAAATATTATTTCTGAGTAGTGTGAGTATGAGTGATTTTACTTTTTTCTTCGGCTAATCTGTCATGTGTGGAATTTCTATTGTGGGCAGACATTATCTCTGTACGTTTCCCCTGAGGCCTTACTACCGGAAAGGCTGCGGACCCGGAGCTGTGGAACAGGTGACCGGACTCTGGCCCCAGGCTGCGGGCACTCGGCGGCGGCAAGACAGAGAAGGCCAGGCTGCGCAGGCGGCTGTGAAAACCTGCCCTGCGAGTCTAAAGCAGAAGCGAGGCCCCCGCGGGAGCTGCGGCCACACTGCTCGGCTTGGCGTGTCAGAACAGGAGAGTGGAGCGGCGGCTGTCGGTGTAAAGCACGGTTTCAACCGCGGGAAGCTCGACAGAAGACGGAGTCCTAACCAGCATTGCATGGCGGGCCACCTAATGGCTGACAGCGGCCTCTCAGTTTAGACAACACAGGCAGTAAAAACCCAGATTTAGACGTCCACTTCCAAGCTCACTCCCACAGCCCATCTACCACCGGGTCCTGCCCCTCCCCAAGGGGTCCCGCGCCTGCCTGTTTCTACCACCACACTGCTCTCCTAAGTCTGCACCTGCTGCTTCCAGTGTCTTCAAATAAAAACCAATTCTAATATTAGTAACATGCCAATTCAAGAGTTACCAGAGCGTCAACGTAAAGATTAAGAAAGGGAGCAATAGCCAAATGTTCATTCTTATGGTTAATCATGCATTAAAAGTGGATGGTATGTTTGAGGGTGTGGAATGTTACAGAATCATTAAAGTAACAGATATCAAAACTATACGGCAGCACAACAATGCTTGTATTGCATGGAGTGGAATAAGCAGGATACAGCGCTATTTGCCTATTATCAATAAAATTAATCTCTGAAAGAAGCTGTCAAGGAAAAAATATCAAGCAATACACCAGGATGTCAATCAGCTTTTTAAAATCATGAGGGATTTTTTTCCATTCTCTAAAAAAATGCCGAAGGGTTTTACTGGATTCCGATCACACACGGAGACCGAGAAGGGAGAAGGCAGTGAGCCCGAGGCGCACGTCAGGGGAGGGTTGGAGGCAGGAAACAGGGAAAACAGGTTTAAGAGGGTTGGAGGCAAGCTTACAGTACAAGTGCTCGAAATTCAGGGAAGGAGACGAAAATCGAATCCTCGCTTAAGAGGAAGCAGGGTCCAGGAGAGTCCGTCACCTTTGCAGGGAAGAAGAGAAAGTCCACAGGGGCAGGGTGACAGAGGGAGGGAGCATCGCAGAGAGCGGCTCAGCACCGGGTGGGCTCAGTCACCCCGCCGCTGAGGGCGCCTCTGCACAGAACTGCCTGCGGGACTCCGGGCAGGGAGTTTAACCTTTCAGCATCTCGGAGCGGTGACTTTTCAGGGCTGTTAGAAGTGTTAGGTGAGGCATCTTGAAGCGAAGGTTACAGAGAAGTCAGGGAGAGGCCACCCACCACGCAGCCAGGCCGCAGGTTGCGGGAAGAGGAGGTTGTGGGGACAGGGAGGAGGTCGTGAGGACAGGGAGGAGGTGACCGCAGGGTTCACTCGCACCGGGAATCTGCAGGTCCTGCCCCGCCTCCTCCTCCACGGCTCCTCTGTGTCAGGGTTTAACAACATCAACACTGTTTTTTCATGTTACAGCAACTATCGGTGGTGCAAATACTTGGAGCGTTAGGAATTATGTATGATACATACCAGTATTTCTATGAAAGTTCTTGTTATTGATTATGAGGCAGACGCCCATTTCGGGGTAGTCCATTTTGTAACTACAGTCCAAGGATATCCCAGAGTCCACGGATTTGCTGCCATGGATGAGCCTCCTGTTTGGAAATCAAACAACCGTTTACGAAGGTGGGAATGACCAGTGCTGCCATGCTCGTGAATACAGCTCTGCAGCAAACCAGAGCAGTGACCGCTTGTGGGACCTGTTTCACAGGAGGGGGGAGGACCGCCGTGCGGCTAAGCCCCGGCTGGTGGCCCTGCAGACGGTCAGGGCCAAGGGCGAGTGCGTGCCCTCCTGAGCGCAGGCTTCTGCTCACCATCCTTCACGTTCTCCTCTAAATTGTATCAAAATGTCATCACATTTTGATGTGAAACTATGTTTCATAGTTTAAAAATCCCCTGTAACTTTGTGAAATATTTTGTCTTTCAAGGTAAGAGTAAGATCTTAAAAATTACCCTGAAATGATAGGAAACCAACAAAACGCAAATATGTACCAAAGCATAAGATTTAACACAATTCTGAAATTGTTCCTAAAAACCTATGAGTGGAACAAATTAATAGCTTATTAATCCACAGCATCAGTATAGTAAATCATTGAAAAACCTGTCCCAGGTTCACTTATCCCAAAACCTCTGTTATCAAGACCGAAGTCAGTCAACTTTTCCTCAAAAGGGCTGAATACTGAGTATTTTAGGCACAACGCCCGTGACAGTGGCTCCGTTCTGCAGGTGAAAGTAGCCGGGACGATATTTCAACAAATGTGTGAGGCTGTGTTCCACGAAAACTTGACCGAAGTGGAGAGCGGCCTGACCCCTGACCTAGACCCAGCCGAGTCGATGATGGGTCTGCCTGTAGACAAGCATCGCTGTGTACTGTGCTGTACCCCTGCCCTCTGTCTGAGAGTGTTTCACATGACACACGAGTCTCAAACAGTTGGAAAGAGACTAACACAGTAAACCATAAATTAAAGAAGTTGATATATTTACTTCTGAACAAACTATTACATTTAATGAAAGGTGGCGAGGGCTGCATTCGGCAGATATGAAAATTAAGACTCTGAAAGCCGGGTGACTTGTGGAAGGCCATCCAGATCACGGGTCAGAGAACCGAGATTCCCCAGCCCCTCTGGCTGCCTCCTTGGGGGCAGGTGTCCCTCCAAAGGCAGCGACACAGAGCTCAGCAGGGCGGGGCAGGGCCTGATAGACAGCAGAGGCTCCACCAGCCTGGGAACATGACACCTTCTCACAGCAGAACCACAGACGGCCGACTATTTTGGGCTCCCATGCAATTTGCTATTAAATTATGTTCTGTAGGATATGAAAGGGAAGAAAATGGATAAATCCCTTTACGCGGGTTTTAAAAAATACAAACCTTCTAAAATGAGATGGTACTTCAAAGTTTAACTTGTAGGAAAATCCCTTTGCTAAGCTATCACAGCTAAATTCTTATCGGTAATCCGTTAACAGCACTGCTGTTGTTCACTAGTGCAATTAGTCTATACGTCCCGGATGGCCCAGAATAATAATGCTAGGTCTCAGAAATAAAGTTTTACAATTTAAAGCATCATCAGAGACCCTGAATGGATACAAACAGACATAATTTAAGGCTGTTTGAGGTTTGTCTTTTCCCTTTCTCTAGCTGCTGGTCACTGGAAGCATTCGTGTACAGATTATTCCAAACAGAAAGAAGGACAAAGTAAACAGTAAAAGAAAATCTATAACCAGGCAACTCTTCCCCAGACCGAGAACTGCCACTTCATTCCAGTCTTAAAATTCGAGAATGGGGTCAAAACAACACCCCCAACACAACCCTCCCCCGTCCTGCAGGGCAGTCTGGGCCGGCACAGGAACTGCCCCTCCTGTGAGGTCCTCTTGCTTCCAGGACGGGGTTTCTGAGTTTGGGGAGCCTGGGCCAGGCACTGGACGTGTGGTCTTTCCCTGAATCTCACCCACATTCCGTGGGATCGTTGTTTTAAAGGGCAGACTCGGAGGAAACAGGCTAACGGGTGTAAAGCCACACAGCTGTTCAGGTAGCAAGCACTCACTCCTGCTTCCCGCCCCTCCACTCGAGCTGTATCACAACCATCTTCTCGGATTACACAGGGAGGCCCTTTATTAAATACTCACGTTTCTGAGTTTTTAATGGATTTGGAATCCACTGAGTTTTCCGTGTTCTCCATGGGCACTTTTATATACTAGAGTATAAAGAAAATAGAAGTTAGTCCAAACCAGCCCCTGTGAGATCACTGCAGTATATTAATGACTCCAGAGACAATTCCTCCAAATTGATACAGAAGGTGCACATTTTCACGTGAGGCCACCACCCTCCCCGTGTCACCTGTGCCGTTACAGGTTTCTGCGAGCCACGCCCGAGAACGAACCTCTGTAAAGGTACGTGCGGTGCAGCCCTTCTCTCTCTCAGTCTCTTTCTTTCTCAACTAGGAATAATAACAGATTGATAATAAAATGATAGGGGCTACGAAGAAAATAAAACAGTGTAAAGTGAGACCAAGGTGTGAGATGCTTCAGCTACGATGGTTGGGGAAGCTGTTGGAGGTGACATTTACAATGAGATCTAATGACATGAAGGCCACCAACAGTGGCTGTCCTTGCTGGGGGAAGGACAAGCCAGTACCAAGTCCTGAAAGAGTCTGGTGCATTCACGATGCAGAAAGACCCGTTCCGCGAGCGTGTGTAAAGGAGGGAAGGTGAGAAGGGAAATGAAGTAGGAACGGCCAGGCCACACAGGGCCTTAGGGGCCAGGAGGAGCTTTGATTCTATCCCGACTGCACGGAAAAGGGCTCGGACTGTTTGAAGCCGAGGAGAGACCGCATGTTAAAAAACTGTCACTCTGGCTGCGGAGCGGAGAAGCACCAAGTGTGAAAGGCTGGAGCAGAGGCACCCAGGCCAACAAAAAGCCTTCTGGAACAGTGCTGGCAGGTGACCACGGCAGGCCAAACCAGAGATGAACAGCGGACACAGAGGGTTTGGAGGCTGAGCTGGGGGAGAGATGGGGCTGCAGAAATACAGGGCACTCCGGGACTTAGGGGGTTACCATAGGAAGCGGGGCCAGTAAGAGACTAAAGGGGGGGCACTGGGGGGCCTGGGTCGGGTGAACGTGGTCTACAGAGCCTGCAGAAGTGTTTCAAGGAGTGTTCGCTGTTTCCAGTCTTGCTAAGAGGTCAGTTCAAAACAGGACAGAAGACCGTTGACTTAAGGTCATGATATAGTGTGGACTATCAGGGAAAACTGTCCAGGACTTGAAATGGGCAAAAGAAATTAGCAGATATAATTTCCGTGTGGTGCTGGGCACTGTCTACACTTTAGGACTCTCAAGGATTATCTGATTTTATAAGGTGTCCCATCTTTACTTAGAAATGAAATAGTTTTGTTTCAGTAAGGTGGCTGAAATGAAAGAATAAACACCATGAATTCTTTCAGAGTAGGATTTAAAACAGTGTCTTATTATTTATAAGGATTTCTCAGGAACAAATACTGTAATGTATTTTGTTTCTCATTATTAGTCTCTGAATAATACCTACTGCAACAGTATCAGTCAACCTTCATGTACCATTACAGAATTTTATAACGGTAAATGACACCCTCATTGCATCGGACATGAGCACAGTCGCTCCGGGATTGCCACCATCTGCCCTTCCACGTGAGAGCACCAACTGCACACTCTCGGGAGCAGAGCCTTGCTCCTTGCAGAGCTGGTGTTGGGCTCAGCATTACCTCACGCCCATTAGCTAATGTCTGGCTGCACCCAAGTGGTTCTGGGGATGGTGATCTCATCTGAGAAGGATAAAAAATTATCCCCCAGGGGAAAGTTTAAAGCTCTGCATGATGACAGAGTTTAAGTTCTTAGAGCATTTTCATTTGACAAAACATAAATAGGAAAATACAGGATAGGTGTTTTAAACAGATATCCGGGCACAGTAGTGACTTAACACTACTTGTGTTTTATTGTACTGATGTATATGATGATTCCCATCAATTCAGGATGCTGATGACAATACATAAAATTTCTGCACACGTATTAGGTTCCAGAGAAGTTCTAAGCATACAGTTGAAACGAGACGCCAAGCGGAACTTGGGTCTTAGAATCTTCTCCTATTCCCAGATCCCTTTGACACTTAGCCCTGAAGCCACAGCAGTCAGAACTTCAGAACTTAATGCAATAATACATAAAGCAGAATAAATCATCTACAGAGTTGAGGCAGAGGAATAAAAGTTAATTTCTAAAGCTGAAATTGCAAAATGAAGTTATAAAATAGGAAAGTTTTGATTAAAAAAATTACCCCTGGTATTGAAAATGAATAGTTTGAAAGTGTGAGGATGGTAGAGATTTCAAAATGAGACATTAAATCAGCGCAGTCAGTTTGAGAGCGAGTCCTACCCATTCAGCCTGCCCCCCACCAGAGGCTGTTCTGGGTGCCTGGTCCATCCCCTAATCACAAAATGAGGCATCAGAGCTAGCACCGCTCACTTCTGAATCACCTCCACCAATACGAATATCTTTAAAAATTTATGTGATTTACCAAAACGGGTAAAAAAAATCACAATCCACATGTGACTTGAGTGTTGGATACAAAGTGTTATACAGTAACAGTTCCTTTTACTACGGGCTTCTGTGGGCAAAAGGCACTTAAGTGTATTATTTATCTATGCGTTCCTGGTTAGTCCTCCCAACCACGCCCAGTCATGAGGACCCCACTTTAGAGTCCAGTGGACTGAGGCTTTAGTGCCATTCAGCAGCTTTCAGGTGCTGCAGGATCTGTCGGCTCGAGAGGGCAGACTCCCACCTTCTACACAGCTTAGTAATGCACAGGACAGGAGACAAAACCCCGTAACCTGGAAGCTCTAATGAAGCGGAGACAAGGAGCCCTGGCTGGGCGGCCCCGATGGTGAGAGCGTCAGTCTGCACACGAGAAGGCTGTGGGTTCCACCTCCTGTCCAGGCACATTAAATGGGAGGCAACCGATGGGTGATTCTCTCTCACGTCAATGCTCCTCTCTTTCCATTTCTCTCCCCCTTCTTCTCTAAAATCAATACACATACATTCCTTGAGTGAGGAAAAATGACTGCAGAAATAGTCTAAAGTAGGTGTACCCTGATCCATGAAGAAAATAAAACTGATGGTCACGGTGTTTTTAATGCCTCTGGGTAAGTTTCTTTTAAAGGCAAAATGAATTTCTTTGGGGTTTATAAGAAGCACCAAAACTGGACAGTGTCACTGGACCTGATCGAGTCGATCTTTTACTATTTATTTTGTAATGCAGGTGAAAACACACTACTGGCAAATGAAGTGAAATACAAGAAAATTAAGTTCTGTTGTTCCACAGAAACAAAACCCAAAAAGACAGACTGGAGTGCTGGCCACCTTTCAAAGCCGAAAGCCTGGAGCGGGTCTGCCTTCCCCTGGCCTGAGGTCCAGAGATAGAACCTCTGGGAGGACAGAGGAGGAGCGGGAAAGTCTCCGCAGGCCTCAGTTTTCCGTTGGATGGATGGGTGGTGAAGGCTCTGGGCTACCTTTTCTAAAAATCTTATAACCTGTAAGGCCCCTCCCTCCCACTGAGAACCACGGAGACAGTTCAGGTTGATGACCACCTGATTAAATAAATCCTGCCTGCTAGAGAAGGCTCGAAGCTGAGGAAAGTTAGTGTCAGTACTTTACTGAACACCAACTGTGCGCAGAGAACCCAAGTAAACCCCGAGTGTATCCAGTAATGAAAGAGACAAAGATGCTACCCCTACGTGAGACTCACACCAATGCTGGCTGGTTCTCAGAGGTTCCTCTACCCCAGGGCCATGTTTGTATCAGATAATGTTATCTTATCTGTTATCCTACTCCATCTTAAATCAAAAGCTCTGCTGGCGATTGAAAGGCAAGAACAAAATAGGAAGAGAAAATGACATTGCATGGAAATTTACAAAGCCTTGCCACAACACCCCAATTTGCACTTAAACTACCTCAGGAGGGAAGTATATTACTTATACCTCTTCGTGGACCAGCTAGTAAGTGTAGCCCTGGCACTTGACCTCAGGTGATCTGACTTCCCCTCCATTAACATTTATATCCGTTATATGTGTACAAAACATACAAAACAGTATCTAACAGTCTACAAATTCCTCTTTTTCTAGGCCCACAAACACTAGTGCTTCCCATTTTTGAGGCAGAGTTTAAAAAACTATCCAATACTGGACACCAGAACCAATGTAATGCCATTCATGAAAATAAAGACTGCTTTCCAGCATTTGAAGAGGGGTGAAGCAGTAGGAGACTGTGCTAAATTAGGTCTGAAAGCAAAAAGAGCACAGAAGTATTGTAAATGTCTGTATCAGATAAGAAGGCAGTCTTTTAAAATGGCAGGAGGGAAGGGCTTTTTTTTTCTTCAGGATATCGAAAGCAAATCTGATTTGATTAGGTACAGTGTTTCATTTCTCTCTCTCTATTTTTTTTACTGGGAACAGGTTTTATCGCCACACTCCAATAAATTGTTCATTCATTCATTAAAACACATTATATCTTTCAACAGCCTTCTTTTGCAAAAGAGCAAAGCAAAACCAAGGCTCACACATCAGGCTGGGAGAGCAATGATTCAAGCTTCACGGTTTCGTTCTCAGACATCCAGTATGTGCCACACTTTGCTTTGCACCTGTTACTTACTCTCCGGCACTCACACTGCTACAGCAACTCCCTACTTCGCCTCTGACCATTCCATTCTAAACCATACCTTTTCATGACCATTTGCTAAGTAATCCTAAAGCAGCTTTATTTTTTCCGGACAGGGCATATTTATTGAAAAACACATTTTTGTTGTGTGGGCATTCATTTGTGCCAGGACCTGGGTATAGGAAAAGACAATAAGGAGCAAGAGAAGGAGATAAACAGTCCCTCTCGGAATTTGCTGACAGGGTAGTAGGGAAGACAGTATACAAGCAATTGCATAGGATTGACTTTTCCCCCCTTAGGAAATGGCACATATAAAAGCAACATATAACAGGAAAGCTCAGCCCTTAAGTGTTCAATGAGAGCAGAAACATAAGCAGAAGTTCATCAAGCAAATGTGATGTGATGGAGGGAGGGCGGGAGTGCAAGAGCGTTTCGGGACTGAACCGGTGTGGGAAGATCCCCATGGCTGTGCAGAAAGCGAAAAGATGCTGTAACGAAAGATAAGGCAGTGGAGGAGACCTCGGAGCCAACCTGTGCTTGGCTTTGTCAGCCGCATTACGGGACTTGATTTCAAAACAGCTCCTAGGTGACTTTGGCCGTGGATATATAGTCACCGGTAAGAGCCGGAAGGATTCCCGAAGTTAGAAGAGGAATTGGAGTTTAAGGCTTCAAATTACTTCTCTAGAAAACTGAGTGACACAGTCTACGCAAGTCTAAGCCGGAGTCAGAATCCGTAGCAAAGATTAAAATCTTTCAATCGTGGGAGGATCTGGCCGGAGGGCCAGCGCCCCAAGACAGCACGGCACCTGCCTGCTGCCCTCCGGGCGTTTTTCCCGTTGCCGGTCTTCCACTCCACCGTTCCCGATCGAAACCTCAACCCGTGATCCTGGCCACTCTCAACTCCCCCAGCATCCGCTGCCTGCCGCTCCCGGGCCCGGCCTCCCGCGCCGGTCCCCACCGGGCTCCGAGACCCGGATCCAGCCTCCCGCTAATCCGGCCTCAGCGCCCCCTCCTGGCCTCCTGCCCACCCCTCTACCCCCCACCACGGGCCTGGAAGGTCTTGGCTCCACATCTCGATTATCAGTCCGGCCTCCCGTCCCCCAGGTTCGGCATCTCCAGCCGGGTCTCCGCTGTCCGGTCTCCACATCCCCAGCCTGGCCTCCCCCGCGCCCGGCCCCCTCCTCGGCCGGGACTCCCGCTTCGCGGGCTTCAGTGCAAATCCTCGCACCCTTGGTCGTGGCAAAAACAAAGGATCCGCTGCCCGGACCGTGCCCATCTCCTCCGTCACCCCGGAGCAGCTGCAGGCGCAGGCAGGTCCCAGCTCTGGTCGCCGGGCTTGCAAAGATGGAGGGAGCGGGGCCAGAGCTGGAGGCCCCGCGGCGAGAAGGGGCGAGGGCAGTACTCACCGCACAGCAGCCACACAGCAGCCACCGTCTTGCCCAGCGAAGCGCCTCCAGCGTTACTGCAGCCCCGCAGCAGGCAGAGCGGCAATAGCGGCCTGGCCCCGCCCCCTCGGCGCCCGGCACGCCCCGCAGCGTCGACACGTCACCGCGGGCCGGGCCCCGCCCTCTCGCGCCGTTCCCACCCATCCTGACGCTCCCTCGCTGGCCCGCGCACTCCCGCCTTCCTTCCCGGACGCTCCGCCCCCGAGTCCCGGCTCCCGCCAGCCGCCGGGAACTCGCGCCTTCCCCGCCCTCGGAGCGGACTCGTGGAGGTAAACCGAGGGGGACTTAAGGCTGCGTCGGGCCCTGCGGGTGGAGGGAAGGGAGTCAGGGCGGTCTCGACGCCCAGTCCCGACTCCGGCAGGGAGGGAGCGCGCTGCCCAAGGCCCCGGCACTCTCGGCTTTTCCTCCGGCGACCGAATCCCAAGTATGAGCTTCCCCACTGCGCCCCCGCTTGCTGGGGGTCGCGAACTCCTTCCCGACCTGCGCAGGCCCTGAGCTGCGTTCGCTGAAGCCTGTGCCAACGCAAAGGACAACGAAGTGCTGCGTCCGAATTCAAGGGGTGCCGGGCATTCTGACAAAGTAGGGCCCCCAGCACCGGTGCCTGTGCCAGCGTGAATCGGGGGCTAAGTTTTGCACATAAACTCACGTCGAAAATTGTGTATGTGGCTGCCAGTTGTTGAGTGCTGCTTCTGTGCTCCTGAATTTTCACACATTTTCTGATTTAATCCTTCCAAGAACCCCTGGAGGTGGGAATTCCAGCCCCTACCCGGGCTTAAAAAGGGTAAGGGGTTTGCTTTTGCTTAAAGGAGGGTTCCAGGAGTTAAACTCGGAAGTCTAGCAGTAAGGAGCCATATCACTTTGTATCGAAAAACTAAAGCAGTTTTATTAAAAATTGCTCTGTCTCTTCAATCCAATGAGATTGCATTATTTCCCTAAGCATATCTGTTATATATTTGTTTCTTGATTTATACTTTATAGTTTTCATGTGAATTAGCTGTAACTTTGAGAGAAGAATCTTCCCTGGGTCTGTCATGTTTGAGATTAAATTTGAAATCCATGAGGCTTTCAAAGCCATATCATGACATTCCCACCCTTTCTTAATCTTTTAGGGTGATTCTATTTTTTCCTTCCAGGGAATATAGTATTTGCCCGTGAGTGTGTGTTGTTGGAGAGCTTTCTGTTAAAATTCAAGAGACTGTTTATCAACTTAGTAAGTACACGTGCTGGAAAGACATTGCCAAAGGTAAATAGGAATTTTACCCTCATGCTTTAGTATATATTATTATTTCACTTAAAAAACTAATATATGTTTTTTACATAGAAAAATTAGGGCATGGATAAAACTAATGAAGAGGGAAACTGTCTCAGTTATGTATTTCTGTGTAAAAACCAGGTCAAACTTACTGGCTTGGTTTTTGGGTTTTGTTTTTTTTTTTTGCTTATAGTTCTGTGGGTCAGCTGGGTAGGGCTTTGGTAGGTTCCACCTGAACTCACCTGGGCTGAATCCTGCATGATGGATTGGTGGTTGCGTAATCCAAAATGGCTTAACTGACTTAACTGATCACTGGTGCTGCCTATTAGCTGGGGTGCCTTTTGCCCTCTGTGAGGCTAGAGTTGTAGTGCGCCAGTCTCAAGGGAGGACTCCAAGATGGCCCAGAGCAAGGCAAAAGCGCTTACTAAACCTCTGCTTCACATTTGTGAATGTGACCTGGCCAAGCCCAGAGTCAGTATGGAAAGGGGCTTGGATGGCATCTCTCGATGAGAAGAATGGCAAAGAGTTTGTGGCCATTTTGATGTATAAGGAAACTCCCTTCCCCCCACCCCCTCCACTCCATCATGCCTTGTAAAAACCTTTCCTTTTTTCCACTGTAAATAAACCACGATCCCAAATTGGATGTGGATTGCCTGGCCTCCTTACCTTGGCATGGCTAACATGAAAGCATTGCATGCAAACAAAAACAATAAACAAGAGTTAAAATATAATCATTTACATGACTGTAAGTCATGTGACTTAACACAAGTCATACGACTTGGCATAAGTCGTATGACTTACCGCAAAATACAGTCATTAAATTAACAGTCATAAGTAAAGACTTATTTATTCTTTTTTAAAGTCATACTTATGATTACTACCCACATCCTAAAGCAAGATTAGCCAATACTGTGATTCCCATTTGCCCAGTGAGTTATCCTCCCAACCAACAGTCCTGTTGAGAGGTAAGAGCAATGAACAGAAACAGAGGGGAGGGCAGCTAAGAACCTACAGGGGAGCCTGGACGTGAACTCTGCACCAACAAATAACAGCACAAGCGTGAAGGCCGAGGTAGTGAGGAGCACCAGCTGGGAAAGGTAGCACTTGATGCAATAAAATGGTTACAGTGAAAACCACAATGAGACAAAACACATGCACATGAGGCTTTGTAAGTTACAAAACATTTTCATGTGTCTTATCATGTTTGTCCTCAAGGCAGCTCCATAAAGTATTCAAAAAGATACTGATTTCATATTGCAGTTGGGAAAGATTTGGAGAGCTTCATTAACTTGTCCAAAACCACTATTAGGTGGGAGCCAGGGTCTGCAGGTTTCTAATACCCCGCTCTGATCTCATTTACATTAAAACTTCAGGCATCACTTAAAATAGAGAGCAGACTAGGAAATGAGTTCTGAAGTTTTACCAAACACGGTATGTTCTAAACAAAGACATTGATGCCCTTGTTTGTTTGTATTTACAGAAACTGATAGAAACCGCACATGGAATAGGATTTCGTCTCCCCATACTTGTGAACCAATGAAGAGAAAATGGGAAGCAAAACTGAAGCAAATCGAAGAACAAGCATCACATTATGAGCAGAACCCATTGCCTTCGGTGTACAGACCCAGGCTGTCCAAGCCAGGAGACCCGTCCCCTGTCTGGAAGCTATTTCCTCGGCAAGCTCAAGCTTTTAATTTTGTTAAAAGCTGTAAAGAGGTAATTTTTTCAACTTCTGCTTGTTTGTAGAACTGAAATTTAAGATTTCTTTAAAAAAAAAGTCTAGTTAATTTTTTTGCAGGCCACGTATCTACCAAAAGAATTTAACTGTGATCTTAGTATCCCATGACTTAGGAAAAATATCCCTATGAATCATTAGCCATTTAGTTTATATGAATACTGAAAAAGAATGATCTATCGAGTGCCAATTAGTTTTAAACAATTTAAATGGAGAAATGTTTTGAAAAGAGTGACCATATTTATGGACCGAAAAATAATAGAATCAGTTTTTAAGAGTAAAACTAAAACAATACTCACAGGAATACAAGGAACTGAAGGAGTGAAGTATGAGATTTTTAAGGATGAAATTAGGGAGTGGAGAATTGAATTTAAGCAGTAGGAAATGAAAATGTCTTACATGTTATGGCTTACATTTACTAGGCTCTAGACCTTAACCCATAGTGCACAAGTATACGTATTCATCTTTCTTTGATCTCCTTTTGTGCTTTGGAGTCGTGGAGTGGATTTATCTTTATCTGACACATCGAGCAAGTGGGAAGAAGTGTGTGCTGCATGCTGGCTGGACTCGCAAAGGGCGTGGGGCTCCAACATAACCCCAAACAGATGTATATTGCACATCATTTGTCTCGGGGCTGCTGTGGGGAGTGTAGGAAGTTCAGTTGACTGGAACAGGTTTGAACTGGGCTGGTTCATGTGTTCCCAGATTGTTTTTCAGTATATACTGTAAATAGATTTTCTCATTTTTATAATTTTCCTAATATTTTCTTTCACTCACTTGTTTTATGATTGTATGATACGGTATGTAATACCGGTGTACCTCGGATATTGTGTGTTTGGTTCTAGATTACCACATAAAGTGAGCGTTTTGGTAAAGCTGTAGTGGTCTTCTGGTGGTGCAGGGCCTTTTCCTTGCCTTTGGTTTATAGAGCACACGTCTGTGAAGCACAACAAAATGAAGTGTGCCTGTACATATACAGAATACGTATTGATCAGCTGCTTTTGTTATTGGTAAGAACTGCTGATTAACAGTAGTTAAGCTTCGGGGAGTCAAAAGTTATACACAGATTTTGACTACTTGGAGGTTGACGCCCTGACCCGTGCATTGTTCAGGGGTCAACGGTTAAGTGAAAAGATGCGTATATGAAATGTAGCATAAATACGTGTGGTTCTGATCGTTGATGCTGTGTCCAGACTCAGAAGAGGACCCTTCTTTGCTTGGTAAAGGGAAACTCAGGTCTTATCAGAGTAATGTAGGATACATGGGAAATACTTTTCATGCTCATTATGTGTCAGCCGAATTCAGGTAATCAGAAATTAAAATACTGACAGATTTACAAAAATATTGAGAGAGCAGTATGATTGGTGGACTTAACCAATCACCAGCCTATAATTTTTCTCAAGGTTTTTAATAGGGTTCAGCGACTTAGTCCTTCTTTGATTCTCGCTCATGAAGATGGAGGTTTAGTTCCTGTGTGGGGTCAGCAGCCACCTTGAGCTGAGTGGGAGCAGGAGAAACGGAGCGTCCCTTTATCGGAAGGGACTCCAACGGCAGCAGACACAAACAGTTACATCAGGCTCCACAGCAATTAATTTTAGAAGGATTGGTTACTCATGGAGAAGACAATTTATAGTTACTTGTTAAAGTTAAACATTTTAACACTTCCTCTAAGCTTTTAAGATTGACTTACACATATTCCATTAAAAAAAATTGGTTACTGCATGTTTTTATGCGTACTAAAGAATTTACTAATATTAGCACATTCATTTATAAAGTCTAGTTTTCAAATAAGTTTAATTTCGTAAACTAGCAAATAAAATTTTAATAGTCAAACTAGACTGATTGAAAACTGACATTTGTTTTCTTTTTAATTTGAATATTCTAATTATTTTTACCTTGAACATGTATTACTTGAGTGACTAAAAGTAAGTGCAAATAACTATATTTTGATTGCCATAAATCTAGTGATTATTATTGGGGTTTTTAAAGATTTTTATTTATTTATTTTTAGAGAGAGGGGAAGGGAAGGAGAAAGAGAAGGAGAGAAACATCAGTGTGTGGTTGCCTCTCATATACTCCCAACCAGGGACCTGGCCCACAACCCAGGCATGTGCCCTGACTGGGAGTCGAACCAGCGACCCTTTGGTTCACAGGCCCGCACTCAATCCACTGAGCTACACCAGACAGGGCTATTATTGTTGTTTTTAATAATATAAATGTTCCAATTCCAGTGTTTGAAAATTTGAATAGTAAGTTTCTTATGAACGTTTAACAGCTATAGTTGATTTTAGGTTGTCATTTTGTTAATTTTGAAATATTTTTGATTTTATAAAGGATGTTCACGTATTCGCTTTGGAACATGAAGTGGGCGAAGGACAGCGTGTTTACCTCGTGACCACCTATGTCGAGTTCTGGTTTTATTACAAGTCCCGGTGAGTAGTTCGTGCAGCCGGCACACTGCAGCTGCACCTCCTTCATCCAGTAGGGCTTTGACAGGAGCGCAGGCTGAACTGGCCTTGACCGTTCTCAGGCACATGATTAGTTCCTGCCCCTTTGCTGTCGGCATTGAATTGCTGCACTTCCTTGTCATAGTCGCATTGAAAGGTCTCACCAGGTGGTGGGAAAAAAAATTGTGTGTTTTGAGTTTCTGTGCTGCCTGCGCCACCTGATGGCACAGTTCGCTCCTCACTCTTCCTCGTCGGTTTTGGGCAGGAAGCCTCAGACTCCGCTGAGCACGAGCACCTGCGATCGTTTACCTACCACGTCAGCACCTGTTCTTACTGACCTTTGGTAAAGTCGCACCTCTTACAGCCAGCAGAATGTGACTGCAAACGTGAGCACTGAAAGCTCTTTCAAGTCAGGTGGTTCCAAGTGTTCACTAATTCCTAAAATATTATTTTCCCCGTGAAAATATGTAAATTAAAAAAATCTCATGCAACGGTTCGTGGGATCCCAAGAACATGGAATTCTGGGGTCCAGTTTGACAAAGAAAGTTCTCAAATAAAATATGCTTCGTGGTGACACCACAATCAAATATAGAAGTGTTACACAGTATCAAAGTCCTCTGTGAATAAGTAACAGTATGAAGTTGGACGTAGTTCCCAGTTTAATAATGGTACAGAATATGATTGTCAGATCTGCCTGTGGGAAATTCTTAACAATAGGTATGGTCCATAAACCTGTGTGAGTAGTTCTTCACTGCACCTTGTTTTTATTATGTCACGTTTGTATGAAATTAAAACAGTTCATGTAGCATCTGGAGGTACAAGATCAAGTTCCGTGATTTAAAAAGGTATACGATATAAACCTAACCATCATAAATTACTCATTTCAGAAAAAATCTCTTACACTGCTATGAAGTGATTCCTGAAAATGCGGTTTGCAAGCTCTATTTCGATTTGGAATTTAACAAAGTTGCCAATCCAGGAGCTGATGGGAAGAAGATGGTTGCTTTACTCATCGAGGTAAAGTACAGACTCGGGTTTTTTTCCTTGTACCGTCTCTCTCTATTCTTATTCATTAGTTAATCCAACCAGTATATAGGTTCTGTGTTTCTCTTGCTACTCCTACTTTGAGGAGGAAGGTCTAGTTCATGTTCGTACACTTTGTAATATTACTATATCCAGTTAAAAAAGCTTTAAGAAAGGCGGCAGTTGAGGACTTTTCTGCTTTATGTTACAAGTAGCTGCTTCTGGTAAAGATTAGGCAAAGTAATTTTTACTATAAAATCTGGGTATTGAGATGAACTGTAAGAAAACATTGATTAAAAATAGTATCTGAATTTTTGAGCTGGCAGGGATTTTGGAAATTATTTTGTCTTGCACCATGTGATTCTGTGATTCGTAAGAAATACTCGTATGTATTTGATCATTCAGGTAAACAGAATGTGTTTCTCACATAAATTCGTCCTCATCCACAGTCCTTGATTCAAGGTCCCCTGACCTTTGGAATTTCCTGGTGTTGAGAGTGATAAAGCTGGTTTTGTTATGTGAAGGAGGCGGCTTTTAGAAGTATTACAGGGTTGGGAGCCTGTGAAGAATACCTGCTGATTATGCTGGATGTTTACATGTTTTATTTTAAATGTATTTGAAAACTGTATGCAAATACTGCTTAAAAAAATCATGTTATGTTAGTTTTCTTCTGGCTTTGAAGCAGAAGAGATATACGTAAGTCCTTCCCTCAAAAAACAGTAACAGCAAAAAGTTTATGGTTTTCTTAAAATAATCATTGGACCCCAAAACAAATTTAAATGTCTTCTTTGATTATAATTTTAGTATATGTGCTCCGGAAGCGAGGACTTATTTTATTACAGTTGTTAAAGTGAGTTTAATTTTGAGCTTTAATTATGTCTTTAATAACTAATAGGTGTTGACCTTTTTTTCTGGTGTCTGCTGCACGTCTGTCTAAGGGAGGGTTCATTACGTGGGCTCGGTGTGACCCACGGGGAGTTGAGAGTGGAGATTTTCACCGGCACTTGAACGCAGTGACGCTGCCCACGAAGAAGCAGCGCACTGTTAGAAACCGAAACACTGCTGACACAGTGAACACCGGTGCACACCCCACTTGTGACACAGATCAGCAAACACTGGTGTGGCAGAGGCCGTAGGGGCGGGAGATTTTTCCTCCTGGTTCTTTATTTAGTCTTACCAATGCCTCATCTCCTACATCAGCAGAAGGTGGGAAGAATCATAGAAATGTGAGTTTAAAAGTATACATCATTGAAAAAAATAAAATGATACATCATTTTATTTAGCATGTTGACTATATTGGTAGAAGTCATTAGAGTTATTTAATGTAACCTTCATAAATTATTACATGGAAATTAATTGTATTTGTTGGTTACTTTGCAACAAGTATATAATCCAGGAAGTTACATTTCCTTTTTACCCTCTGAGGAGGTATAAATTAGGTTAGCTCTTATAGTAATGGATGGCTAATAAATAACTGGCTAATAATCACTAGTGATAGTAAATAATGCCTTTTGATTCATGACTTCACTGACAAATTTTAGATTGCCACTTCTGCCACCTGGAGTGAATTCTGGTGCTAGGGCGTTTTATAAGAGCATGTTGACAGGTAACATTGCTCAGATTATTTTTAACTTCTGGATTTTGAAACTGAAATACAGGACAGGGCAAAAGTAAGGTTCACTGTTCATGTGCAAAATAATACAATAACTAATAAATAATAACACAGGAACAAGCTTATTTTCTATCTCACAACTATAAACCTATGTTTGCCCCACCATGTATTTAACTAACTTAAATTTTTATTTAAAGCTTAACTTGGGAAGGAGAAGTTAGGAGATTCTGAGTACTTTCATTACCTACAGAGTTACTACATTCAGTACAGCTCCAAAGGGTAAAAGTAGACTTCATTCATTCATCAGAATCTCTTCAGCCTGAGCTAAGTGTCACTGTTCTAGGTGCTAGGAATATAATGTTGGCCCAAAGAGACAGAATTTCTGTCTTCACCGAATTCGTAGTCTAAGGGAGGATAATAAGTTAGGATAGATTTAGCTGCCATAATAAACACCTAAAATTAACGTAGCTTAAACAAGATAGAGATTTATTTCTCCTGTAGATTTATTTCTCCTGCATGTGGCTTCATTTCACTAGGGGCTAGGCTTGTTGCTTTATTGTTCCTGAGACACTTCCCTTTTCCACATTGTTCAGGATGACTCGCCATCCCTAAGTCCGCATGCTAGTCAGCGGGAGCTGGAGAAGGGTTGACGTGCTGCTTGCCTTTTGTGGTATAACTTAGAAGTTTCCCGCTTTCTTTCCTTCTGCTCACATCCCATTGGCCAGAACTTAGTCACATGGCTGCACCTTACTGCGAGGGAGTCTGGGAAATGTGTGGTCTTTTTTTTTTAATTTATTTTTTATTGATTATGCCATTACAGTTGTTCTATTCCCCCTTCATTCCCCTCCACCCTACCCCCCATCCCCACCATTACCCCCCTTTAGTTTATGACCATGTGTCTCAAGTTCTTTAGATTCTATATTTCCCATACTATTCTTGTCCCCCCCCATCAATTTCCTATCTACTGTCTATGCTACTTATTTTCTGTACCTTCTCGCTTTCTATCTACTGTCTATGCTACTTATTTTCTGTACCTTCTCTCCCCTTCTCCTCCTCCCACTCCCCTGTACAGGCTAACCCTCCTTGAGATCTTCATTTCTATGTTTCTGCTCCTGATCTAGCTGTCCTTTTAGTTTGCTTTTGTTTTAGGTGTGGTTGTTAATAAGTGTGAGTTTGCTGTCCTCTCACTGTTCATGTTTTTAACTTCCTTTTCTTAGATAAGTCCCTTTAACATTTCATATAATAAGGGCTTGGTGATGATGAACTCCTTGAATTCGATCTTATCTGAGAAGCACTTTATCTGTCCCTCCATTCTAAATGAAAGTTTTGCTGGATAGAGCAATCTTGGTTGTAGGTCTTTGGATTTCATGACTTGGAATACCTCTTTCCAGCCCCTTCTTGCCTGTAAGGTCTCTTTTGAGAAATCCGCTGACAGTCTGATGGGGACTCCTTTGTAGGTGACTGTCCCCTTAGCTCTTGCTGCTTCTAGGATTCTCTCCTTCATTTTAATTTTGGCTAATGTAATTCTGATGTGCCTTGGTGTGTTTCTTCTTGGGTCCAACTTCTTTGGGACTCTCTGTGCTTTCTGGACTTCCTGGAAGTCTATTTCCTTTGCCAGAATGGGGAAGTTCTCTTTTATTATTTGTTTAAGTAAGTTTTCCACTGGTGGCTGTTCCTCTTCCCCTTCTGGTACCCCTATAATTCGGATGTTGGAACATTTAAAGATGTCCTGAAGGTTCCTAAGCCTCTCCTCATTTTTTTGAATTGTTGTTTCTTCACTCTTTTCTGTTTGGCCATTATTTGCTTTCTTCTAGTCCAATCCATTGATTTGAGTCCCAGTTTCCTTTTCATCGCTATTGGTTTCTTGTGCAATTTTATTCATTTCAATTAGTTTCGCCTTCATATGTTTGTCTAATTTGTGGCTATAATGAACCAGTTCTATGAGGATCCTGATCACCAGTGTTCTAAACTGTGCGTCCGAGAGTTTTGCTGTTTCTTCATTGCTTAGATTTATAGGCTCTGGGGCTTTGAGATCTTCTTAAGCCATTTTGGGTCTGTTCGCACACCAGTGAAGTGTGAGGAACGGAGCCTTGGACTCCCAGGTCGCTGGGTTGTGATGCTGTATGTGGGGGCGTGGTCAGAGCGGGGAAATGGCGGCCCCCTCTGCTGTTTCTGGCTGCTGGGTGAGGAGCAGAGCCTTGGGTGGTTCACCAGGGCGGGGCCACTCAGGTCGCTGGGTTATGACGCTGTATGTGGAGGCGGGGTCAGAGCGGGGAAATGGCGGTGCCCTGTGCTGCTGCTCGCTGTGGGGCCTGCTCAGTCCCGTAGTCTCACTGCCCACTTCCTCGTTTGTCTATCTGCGCACGAAAGCGCGACCACAGTTGACCTGCAGCCCTGCTCCTTCGCTGTTTCCCCGCAATTGCTTGCTGAATTGCTCACTAGGTCCAACCCTGCGCCTGGATTCCGCACGCCCGAGTCCGTCTGACTGAGTTTTTCTGTGCAACCTGCTCCGCCAGCTGCTGGTTTCGCCCCTCTTACCGGTCAGGCTGAAGAATTTGTTGTTATCAGACTTCCGAAAAGTTCAATTTTCTGTGTTCTGGTTGTGTTTTCTGTTGCTGATATTTAGTTGTCTCTAAACTTGGTTGTGAGAGAAGGCACGGTATCCCCACTTATGCCTCCATCTCGGCGGAAGTCCTGACATTTTTTTCAGAAATGTGTGGTCTTTAATCAGGGTTACATTTCTACAGTGGCAGGAGAGAACAGATAGTGAGGTATAGCCTTGGTGGTACAGAGGAAATGGATGTCAAAATAATTGCAGATTAACATGAAATCATAGCTGTGTGAGCACAGTAGAGACAGAGTTTATAGGGGGATTCAGTGTCGATGGGGAAGACTTCTCTGAGGAAGTGAGAATTTCCTGAAGAGAGTAGGGTCAGAGAGCACGCGGAGTGCTGTAATGATGCCAGAACAACCTTAATGAATACCAGTTGTGGCGTTACCTGTTAGGTATGTAGGTGCTCAACAGTCCACCCACCTTTAGCCCTGGATGTTCTGGTATCTTGGTTTTTAGTGACTTCTTTTTGCAGATAAGACTTGAGGCTTCAGGAGAAGGGACCTGTCTCCTAGCTGCACAGCTAACGCTTTTGAGCAGTTAGAGAGCCAGGCACTGTGCGAACTCTTGGCCCTCATTTTCTCTTTTCCTCCTTAGAACAATCCGGAAAGTTAGGTCCTATTATTGCCCTGCTTTGCAGTTGAGGAAGGTAAGGTTTTCACTTGACCGATGTCACAGAGCTGTTAAGTGGCAAAGCCGGGACTCAGACCGGATCTGTCTGACCGTAGATCTGATCCATCGGGTTCAGCCAGTGCTTGTTGCCTTCCCGTAGCTCATCTGCCTTCAATGTCAGTGTCCTCGAGCTCCAGGGGCTGTTTTCTGGGAGACAGATTTGGGCTCCACCTGCTTGAGGAACTTTCTGGAAACTTAAAATGATAAACAATAGGACTAGCGACTTTTTAACTCAGATGATATTTAAAGAGATGCTTGAAAAGAAATATTTTTCTTGTGACTTTAGAGGAGATTAATGTGTAAGTGAAATTATTCACTTACACAAATCGTAAGAGGCATTTAATCTTGAGAACCTATGGATTTGGAATAAGACAGAAATAATTTAAATATATAATGCAATACATAAGCCATTGAATAAAATTGTATAAATATTCTGATAGTAAATAAAAATAAAATAGGAGTGAAAAAGATAATTAAATTTAAAAAAATTAAAAATGGATGATACCAAGATATTTGAATTTCTCTCATGGGAAAATTTTCAAACAATCTTTAAAATACTATTTATGGTGTACTTGTGTTTTTCAGTATGTTTGTAAAGCGCTTCAAGAATTGTACAGGGTTAACTGTTCAGCCGAAGATGTTCTCAACTTAGATTCCAGTACCGATGCCAAATTTAGCCGCCATTTAATATTCCAGCTCCGTGATGTGGCATTTAAAGATAACATCCATGTCGGTGAGTATGCTGTTTTTTAAATATTCATGGACTTATATTAAAAGCTCATGGTCCCCTTTTCTTCATAAGTTTTGTTAAGTATTTGTTAGGTTTTATGCCTGTTAACCTTTTATAAAAAAATGAAACATGACTGCACATTTTTAGGGTTCGCTTTTACTCCTGGACGTCTTCTTATTCTGGACACATGTGAGACCCATTAGCCTGCCTGTGGCGTCTCTGCTGCCGGTGCCTCTGCGTGTAGAGGCTGGGATGGCCGGGCAGGCCCTGCTGCGGGTGTCCGCACCGACAGGAGTGGGTCCGGAGTGCTCTGGTTAATGCACGAGAGGCCTGATTCAGGTCTTGACTTGCGTTGCCTCGACTGGGGTTTCCGACCTCCGAGGAAGCCTTGGCTTTTAGAGCCTGAGAGCTGGGGCTTAACCACCCACCTACTGGAGTAGAAGTGGCGTTGTCTTTGACCTCTGTACGTCCCTCCGTTTACTTAGTCCGCTAGCGAGCGCGATCTGATTATCTCGCTAGGGTGTCTCAGACCCTTCAAGGATAGCCTGTTGCCTTCAGGAAAATGCCCACTTTTCTTATTTGCACGTGGGGCCCACTGCCCCCCAGCCTCACCTCAGCGCCCGGCTCTCTTCACGCTGTCCTTTACCGAGCTCCCAGCGGGCCGTGCACTCTCCAGTCGTGGGCCTTGCGGTGTTGATGCCGTCCTCTGATCAGCGAGCCTCCAGTTCACCTGGTCTTTTAGGACTCAGTGCAGATATCGTCTGCACTGAGAAATGGGGTATAACCCATTTCTGTCGAACCTTAGACTGAGGCAGGTTAGGGTTTCCTGTGGCTTGCAGGGAGTACCCAGGGCTCATTGTGTCAAAACACTGACCACTTCCTAAGGTAATTTCCTGTTTTTTGTTTTGGTCTGTCCCACGCAATGTTTCTTTGGGGCTGGGGACTGCTTCTTATTCACTATTGTATTTTTAGAGCTTGTTACACAAATCGTATTAATAACATTACTAATATAACAGCAGAAGCAGCAATGATAAGTACAAGTAGGCATTTAATAAACATTTGTTGAACACACGGCTGAATATTAAGTGGGTCCGCTGTAGGGTTGGAGGCAGAATCCTAAGCAAGGTATTTCTTGGATTCTTGTTTACCTCTCATAGCCTGCTCTGCAACTCCTACCACGAGGCTAAAAATGGAGTCGGGTTGCTAGGGAAGAGGGAGAATAGAAATTTGCCAGATAATTAGCAGTCTCTGCTACATACATCTGCTGGAAGCAGATGCATCCAAGCTGGGCTTTAAATCAAGTTCGTCATCCAGACCAAGGTGACAGAGGCTTTGCCGTCAGAGCATCAAATGCTAAGGTGCAGAAGTAGGCGTCTGAGACCCTGGGGGAGCCATGAGGGTTTAGTGTGGCCACAGCGAGAGGCTCACTCAGACCCGACCAACAGGGTGCCGTCCGAGGGCTCTTCCTCTGACGTTGTGCGCGGCCAGAATCAGAAATCAGAGATGGAGACAGCCCCAAATTGCCCCTTCAGTTCCCTGCATCACTGTGTCCCTTGGTGACATTTTTAGTTCCTGTCTTCCCCTTTCACAAAGGGGAATTAGGGCAAGTGTAACATATCACAGAATGTATCCATTGTTAGCAAAATGTATCCATTGGCTGTGCCTAAGATACTCTCCTGCCTTCCCGAGTGGCACTTGAAATCTCTGTGATGGATACCTTCTTTTCAGTTATCTCCAGCAGTGACATTGTCCCTGTACGAGTGAGGAGGTGAGGGTGGTGATGCTGGGGAAGGGAAGCCAAGGGCCAGACAAGTTTGCCTCGTGCCCCGCCCATGTCAGTGCCCCGCCCACGTCACTGCCCAAGGCCCAAGGCCACCTAAGGTCCTAGGCTGACGCCCTCCTTTGCGCTGCCTCTGTGGCTGGTTCTGCTCTCACGACTTCTCTTCTCCTATTGGCTGCCATCAAGGAGCCGCAATTGTACCCTCCCAGGGAAATGTACTTGATCATTTCAAGTTCATATTGCTTTGTTACCCTTTGATACCTGTGATTTCTTTGCATTCAGCATTCAGCCCTCTCTCCTTCCAGAGATGACCATGTCTGTGTGTCACTGCAAGGATAAAGTGTTTTCGCTTTCACTTTGATGTGTAGTGTCTTATAAGACAGTAGACTTGTTTCTTTGAGTAGGGGAGTAACTACATTTCACTTGGAGAAAGATTTTTTTTAATTAGAGCATGTGTACCTTCTGACTGAGGGGTTCAAGTTGTCTGGTAAATGAAGTGACAGACCCAAACTACAGATTAAAGATTAAAATTTTAAAGATTAGAGTTTTGAAGATTAAAATGAAAGTTGAATTTTTTTTATAGGATTGCATTTCTCTAGTATCATTTACATGAAGCATTTGAACCAAATTACTTGATTTTTATGGTGTAAATAATACAATGGAACCTTGGTTCTCGAACTTAATTTGTTCTGGGAAACTGTTCGAGAAGTGATTGTTTCGAAAACTGGGTCTTTGTCTGCTGCCCGGGAGACATACAAAGGTCAGCATGACAGGGCTGCTGGGCAGAGAGGCGAGACCCAAGGCTTTGCTAGACAACCGAGACATTTTTTCTGTGAACAGCATGGTCGAGAAATGAAGTCTTTGAGAACCGAGGTGTTGGAGAGCTGAGGGTTGACTGATTGTGACGGTTTGAAGACATTCCAGGTTGTCATACGGCTTGTTCTCAGTGAATCTCGGACTGCTGATATTCAGAGCCCTTAGAATCAGTGTTGAAATGTACTACATGTATTCAGTGGCTTTAGTTCTGGACCTTGCTCACGAGGCCCGGGCCCATCTCTTGAGCAGTTACAGGCCAGGCAGGAGGAGCGGGCTTTGAACTGGTGGTGGTGACCCGGTGGTGGTGGCAGGCAGGGCTAGATGAGTGGGCACTGGCAGGGGGTGGAGAGAGGAGCCGCTCCAGAGAGACTGGCTGAGGACTGGAGGAGGTGCTCAGGGCCTCTGTGCATGGACTTGGCACGGAAACCTTTCTTTCTTTTTTTATTCTTGACAACAATTCTTTTTTTTTTTTTTTGAAAAGGAAAAACCCTTTCACTCTTTAACCATTGATGGTGAAGATAAATTTTCGTCAACTTAGATATGAATAAAAGTTGTGGTTTTGGTGATAGGATGTTAGGCTCAGTCCACGCTAGCAACATGGGCATCTCAGACTGGCCTCCCCTCCTGGGACGGTTTGTTTACAGGAGACACTTCCCTCCCCTGTCGATGGGTTGCACAAGAGGAAGTGAGGAAAGGCACGCCACTGTTTGTGATAAGCACTCAGCTTTTTTTTTTGTATTGGATCATTTTTATTTATTTATTTTTTAATTTATTTTTTTATTGATTATGCCATTACAGTTGTTCTATTACCCCCTTCATTCCCCTCCACCCTGCACACCCCTCCCCCACCATTCCCCCCTTTAGTTTATGACCATGTGTCTCAAGTTCTTTAGATTCTATATTTCCCATACTATTCTTGCCCCCCATCAATTTCCTATCTACTGTCTATGCTACTTATTTTCTGTACCTTCTCCCCCCTTCTCCTCCTCCCACTCCCCTATTGCTAACCCTCCTTGAGATCTTCATTTCTATGTTTCCGCTCCTGATCTCGCTGTCCTTTTAGTTTGCTTTTGTTTTAGGTGTGGTTGTTAATAACTGTGAGTTTGCTGTTCATGTTTCTTTAACTTCTTTTTCTTAGATAAGTCCCTTTAACATTTCATATAATAAGGGCTTGGTGATGATGAACTCCTTGAATTTGATCTTATCTGAGAAGCACCTTATCTGTCCTTCCATTCTAAATGAAAGTTTTGCTGGATAGAGCAATCTTGGTTGTAGGTCTTCGGATTTCATGACTTGGAATACCTCTTTCCAGCCCCTTCTTGCCTGTAAGGTCTCTTTTGAGAAATCCGCTGACAGTCTGATGGGGACTCCTTTGTAGGTGACTAGTCCCCTTAGCTCTTGCTGCTTCTAGGATTCTCTCCTTCATTTTAATTTTGGCTAATGTAATTCTGATGTGCCTTGGTGTGTTCCTTCTTTGGTCCAACTTCTTTGGTACTCTCTGAGCTTCCTGGATTTCCTGGAAGTCTATTTCCCTTTGCCAGATTGGGGAAATTCTCCTTTATGATTTGTTCAAATAAGTTTTCCACTGGTGGCTGTGCCTTTCCCCCTTCTGGTACCCCTATAATTCGGATGTTGGAGCGTTTAAAGATGTCCTGGAGGTTTCTAAGCCTCTCCTCATTTCTTTGAATTGTTGCTTCTTGACTCTTTTCTGTTTGGCCATTATTTGCTTTCTTCTGGTCCACTCCATTGATTTGAGTCCCAGTTTCCTTTTCATTGCTATTGGTGTCCTGTGCAATTCCATTCATTTCAATTAGTTTCGCCTTCATATATTTGTCTAATTTGTGGCTATAATCAACCAGTTTTGTGAGGATCCTGATGACCAGTGTTTTAAACTGTGCGTCTGAGAGTTTTGCTATTTCTTCATTGCTTAGATTTATAGGCTCTGGGGCTTTGAGATCTTCTTGAGCCATTTTTGGTCTGTTCACGTGCCCATTAAGTGTGAGTATGAGTAGCGGAGCCTTGGACTCTCAGGTCGCTGGGTTGTGACGCTGTATGTGGGGGCGTGGTCAGAGCAGGGAAATGGCGGCCCCCTCTCCTGTTTCATACAGCGGAGCCTTAGGTAGTTCACCAGGGTGGGGCCACTCAGAGTCGCTGGGTTATGACGCTGCATGTGGAGGCGGGGTCAGAGCGGGGAAATGGCGGCGTCCTCTGCTGCCGCTTGCCGCTGGGTCCCGGTCCAATCGCCCACTCCCTCGCTTGTCTATCCTCGCACAAATGCCCGACCACAGTCAACCCGTAGCCCTGCTCCCTCACTTTCCCTGTGGTTGCTGGGTCTCTCACTAGATCCAACCCTGCGCCTGGATTCCGTGCCCCCGAGTCTGTCTGACCGAGTTTTCCTGTGCTACTCGGCTCCACCAGCTGCTGGTTTCACCCCTTATGGGTCAGGCTGAAGAATTTGTTGTTATCAGACTTCCGAAAAGTTTAATTTTCTGTGTTATGGCTGTGTTTTCTGTTGTTATTATTTAGTTGTCTCTAAACTTGGTTGTGAGAGAAAGCACGGCGTCTCCACCTGTGCCTCCATCTTGGCGGAAGTCAGCACTCAGCTTTAAAAACAATAAAAGAGCAGCAGCTGCTGCCTTCCTGTGTAAATTGTCACGTGCAGATTTGAGCCCAGATCCTAAGTTATACTTGGTGAAAAAGAAGAGTTAGATTAATCATAATCTTTTCCCCTTAGGTAATTTTGTGAGAACAATTTTGCAGCCTGCTTTTCATTTAATTGCCAGTGAGGATGACGAAGATGCAGGTGGGGTTCCAGAGACGGCAGGCCGTGGGCCTCCCCACTTTTCTGGGACACCAGTTCAGCAAGGAGCTTCCTGCAGCAGCCTGTCCACAGCGGAGGAGAGAGGGGAGAGCTGGACGCGTGATTCTGGGAGGCCGGAGGGGCTGGGGTCGGCTACGCCAGGCAGCCCTGACCTTTCGTTCTTGGTTGTGAAGAATGCCTCGGGGGAAAAGTGTCTTTTTGTAGATCTAGGTAAGTGACAATGACATGTCTGTACGAGACTGTCCCTGTGTCCTGCTGTGAGTGACATGTGCACCAGGCCAGCCCGAGCTCCCAGAGGAGTGGTCCTGGGTGGCTGCTGCTCTGCCGTGTCCACAGGGTTCGAACCTGGGGCCTCAGGACAGAGCACAGTGGGACAGCACTCCCCTGCTCTGCAGTAGGTCCCACTTGATGGCATGAGTGGTAAGAACAGGAACACAGTGCTTTCGTGCGGCCAGCAAGGCCGGCGTGCTCTGCCCTGAAGATCTGGGCGGCCCACCAGCCTTAGGGACAGTGGTGGCTCCTGTGGCCCTGCTCTCTCCTGCCCAGCGGGCTTCTGGTCTCTGGAGAAGCGCGGGCAACCTGACTTTCACCCGGCTGGGAGCATGCAACCCAGCGAGGACTCTGCATTTACCCAGCCGTGTGTGGGAGGCAGGAGCTGGTTTTTATGTTGCGGTTTGAGCTTGCGATTTGAAAAGCAGCTCAGAGGGTTCCACGTCGGCAGGCTTAGTTGCAGGCAGCACGGGTGGGGAAGTGCTCCTGCTGACCCGTGTGTCCATCTCGCACTCCTGACAGCCAGGCGCCGTCATTTGGGAATGCAGTAGGTGAGTGCAGTGAGCAGACCTGCGTGTCATCAGGAAGGTGGCCTCTGCCAGCTGGACCGATGTGTAAGAAACCGGGGACAGTGCCTAGCAGGAAGCCGATCCAGGGAGAGCGCCACCGCCCGTCACTGCCCGCCTCTCCCGCTGCCCGTGTTAAAGACCCCGAACGGAGCAGCCCGACTCACGACAGCTTTAGACTTGAAAGCTGGGTAGTGTGCAAGCGAGGAAATGTCTCTGATCTGCTTAGAAATATTATATCACCGTTCCCAGAGTTACTTGGATAACAGAGAGGACGGGGAAGTCATTCCCTAAAGCATCCTTGGAAAAGTTCAGAGTTTTAGTGCTACACACCAAAATTTTAAAAAAACAAAACATTTTTATAACATTCAAACAGAAACATGCATCATTTATGAGTGTGCAGGTCAGCGAGTTCCTGGAAAATGAACACGTCCTGTCACCACACCATCCAAGACCAGACACAGAAGGTGCCGGGACCTCCTCCGAGCCCCTTCCGGCACCACCCCCGTCCCCCTCGGAGAGAGGCCAGCACTGATCCGTCCTCCAGCCCCACAGGCCAGGGCTGCCTGTGTTGAACTGTTCGTAGTGAGAATTGCATGGCGAGTGTTCGTGGCACTTTCCCTCCCTTAACGGCGTCTCTGATGGACCAAGTTGTGGACGTTGAACAGCAGTTGCCTCACTTAGTGACATTCACTTTCTGGTTAGTGTCCTTGTTTCCTGTTGAACAGACACTTCCTTTCCCAAGTTCAGACAGACGCTCTGCCTAGCTTCTAGAGGCCTTATCTCGTCACTTATACTTATCTTTTATAGAACCTGCAATCCACTTGGCATGGATTTTTGCTTGTTAGGTGAAAAGGAGTTACAATTCACTTCTTCCTGCCTGAGCACACACCTCCATTGCGGGCTTCGTCCCCAGTTGGGGCTTGTGTGGGAGGCAACTAATCGATGTTTCTCTCTCATGTTCACGTCAGTCCATCTCTCTGTCTGTCTCTCAAATCAGTAAACATCCTCGGTGAAGATTAAAAGAAATTTACTCTTTTCCTATGTGGGTATCCATTTCCCCAACACTATTTGTTGAAATAACTGTCCTATTTCCTGGAAGGACATCCTTGTCATAAATCACGTGTCCGCATAGTCTGCTTCTGGACTATGTTCTGTTTCATTTTTCTTTTACTCTATTTTTGTGCCAGTACCACAATTGTCGTGATCAACACAGCTTTCCTAAAAGTCTTGACATCCAAGAGACTAAGTCCTCCAATTCTGCTTTTTTGAAATTTCTTGGCTGCTCTAGACTATTTGCTTTTCTTTTTTTTTTTTTTTTAATTTTTTTATTGATTATGCTGTTACAGTTGTTCTATTCCCCCTTTCATTCCCCTCCACCCTACCCCCCGTCCCCACCATTACCCCCCCTTTAGTTTATGATCATGTGTCTCAATTCCTTTAGATTCTATATTTCCCATGCTATTTCTTGCCCCCCCCATCTATTTTCTATCTACTGTCTATGCTACTTATTTTCTGTACCTTCTCTCCCCTTCTCCTCCTCCCACTCCCCTGTTGCTAACCCTCCTTGAGATCTTCATTTCTATGTTTCCACTCCTGATCTCGCTGTCCTTTTAGTTTGCTTTTGTTTTAGGTGTGGTTGTTAATAACTGTGAGTTTGCTCTCCTTTCACTGTTCATGTTTAACTTCTTTTTCTTAGATAAGTCCCTTTAACATTTCATATAATAAGGGCTTGGTGATGATGAACTCCTTGAATTTGATCTTATCTGAGAAGCACTTTATCTGTCCTTCCATTCTAAATGAAAGTTTTGCTGGATAGAGCAATCTTGGTTGTAGGTCTTTGGATTTCATGACTTGGAATACTTCTTTCCAGCCCCTTCTTGCCTGGAAGGTCTCTTTTGAGAAATCCGCTGACAGTCTGATGGGGACTCCTTTGTAGGTGACTGTCCCCTTAGCTCTTGCTGCTTCTAGGATTCTCTCCTTCATTTTAATTTTGGCTAATGTAATTCTGATGTGCCTTGGTGTGTTTCTTCTTGGGTCCAACTTCTTTGGTACTCTCTGAGCTTCCTGGATTTCCTGGAAGTCTATTTCCTTTGCCAGATTGGGGAAATTCTCCTTTATGATTTGTTCAAATAATTTGAACAAAATTCAAATTCAAAAAATTTGTTCAAATTTTCCACTGGTGGCTGTGCCTTTTCCCCTTCTGGTACCCCTATAATTCGGACGTTGGAGCGTTTAAAGTTGTCCTGGAGGTTCCTAAGCCTCTCCTCATTTCTTTGAATTGTTGCTTCTTGACTCTTTTCTGTTTGGCCATTATTTGCTTTCTTCTGGTCTACTCCATTGATTTGAGTCCCAGTTTCCTTTTCATTGTTATTGGTTTCCTGTGCAATTCCATTCTTTTCAATTAGTTTCGCCTTCATATGTTTGTCTAATTTGTGGCTAAAATCAACCAGTTCTGTGAGGATCCTGATGACCAGTGTTTTAAACTGTGTGTCTGAGAGTTTTGCTATTTCTTCATCGTTTAGATCTATGGGCTCTGGGGCTTTGAGATATTCTTGTGACATTTTTGGTCTGTTCTGGCCCTTTAATTGTGAGAAGCGGCGCCTTGGACTCCCAGGTCGCTGGGTTGTGACGCTGTATGTGGGGGCGTGGTCAGAGCGGGGAAATGGCGACCCTTCCGCTGTTTCTCACAGCTGGGCGAGGATCAGCGCATTAGGTGGTTCACCTGGGCCGGGCCACTCAGAGTCGCTGGGTTATGACGCTGTATGTGGAGGTGGGGTCAGAGCAGGGAAATGGTGGCGCCCTCCACTGCTGTTAACCGCAGGGTCCCACCGGGCTCCGGTCCAACCGCCCACTTCCTCGCCTGTCCACCCACGCACAAATGCGCAACCACAGTCAACACACAGCACCGCTCCCCGCTGTCTCCCCTGCGGTCTCTCGCCTGGTCGCTCGCTCGGTCGCTCACTAGGTCCAACCCTGCGCCTGGATTCCGCGCATATGGATTCCGCCCGCCTGAGTCCGTTCCTGTGCAACCCCGTTTCACCAGCCGCTGGTTTCGCCCCTAACCGGTCAGGCTGAAGAATTTGTTGTTAACGGACTTCCGAGAAGTTCAATTTTCCGTGTTCTGGCTGTGTTTTCTGTTGCTAATATTGAGTTGTCTCTAAACTTGGTTGTGTGAGAAGGCACGGCACATCCACCTATGCCTCCATCTTGGCGGAAGTCCCCTATTTGCTTTTGTATTTAAATTTTAGAATCTGCTCATCAGCAGTCTGTCCACCTGGGGAGAGTTGACATCTTTATGACACTGAGTGTCCACCCCGTGACCACGGTTGTGCCTCTGAGATGTTCTTCCATTTCTCATACTGATGTTTTATACTGTTCTGAAGAGGGACCCCGCACATCTTGTTAAATTCATTCTGGAGAGTTGATATTCTTTTTGTTTGTTCAGACAACAGACATTGGTCTCCCACAGTCCAGAGGCTGGCGTGCGGGGTCAGGTGCCCGAGGGGCCGGTTCTGGGCAGAGCCCCGTGTGTGCTTTACGGATGATGAGTCTTCGCCTCGTTCCCTCACGCGGCCGAGAGGCAGAGAGACTGGAGGTTTTAACGCCTCCTCCTCTGAGATCCGACACCACCAATCCTCACGGCCTCGAACGCTCTCCCACAGCCTCACACTTCTTTTTTCTACCTTCGTTCAGCATTTCTATTTATTTACCATGGGAAGGCGGCCCCCACACAATCTCTCGGCCATTTCTGGATGTGGCCTTCTTCCATGCCCTCTCCTATTTATTTTCATTTATGTATTGCTTTTGTTTACATCCGATAGAAAAGTTGTTTTTCTTTTTCAAAAAATATTTATATATTATCGTTTGCCTGAAGGTGATTTCTTTGCCTTTGTTTTATTATTTTTAAAAATTATTTTTTAAATTAAGGTATAATTGATATACAACATTAGTTTGAACTGTATAGCACAATGATTTGATGTTTGTGTATATTACAAAGTAATCACAGTGAGTTTAGTTAACATCCATCACTGTACATTGTTACAGAAGTTTTTCTTTCTGGTGATGAGAACATTTAAGATCCACTCTTCTAGCAGCTTTCAAAATATGGTACAGCATTATTATTAACTATCGTTGCGATGCTGTACTTACAGCCCCAGGGTGTATTTATTTTTATAGCTGGACGTATATTCCTTTGATGCCCTTTACCCGGTGGCCCACCTCCCACCTACGGCAACCGGCAGAGGTGGCGGTTTCCTGTATCTGTGATTTGGGGGTTTTTTGTTTGTTTTAGGTTCCAGGTATAAGTGAGATCCTGTGATGCTTGTTTCTGTCTTTTTTTTTTTTAGCATAATGCTTTCAAGGTCCATCCAT